TGTTACATATATTGATTTTTTTACAAAAAAAAAATAAAAAAATAAAAAAATCAAATGTTAAGTTGAAGACAAAAAAAAAAAGGAAAGGAAAAAAAGGGAGTGGAGAGAAATAAAAAGGACGTATTTTACAAATACGTTTTCTACATTTTTTAGTTGTAAAACGTATTCCGTGAATACGTTTTCTTTTGTAAAAAAAAATGAAAAACGTATTTAGTGAATATATTTTTTGATTAAAATATACAAAAAACGTATTTTGTAAATACGTGCTTTTTATGTTGGTCCACTACCCTCTTTGTTTGTTGTTTTTTGTCCACTTATTATTTTTTATTAATAAATATATAAATTACTCTACATATATTGCCTTTTGATAAAAAGTTGGTGGTGTGGTTGGCCCTTTAATTGCTCACCCAATGTAAATCCACCTATAACTTTATTTTTCACATTATAGGTAGCCATTAATTGTGTTCCCTAAAGTAAGACTTCCCTATTAAATGACATATATGGCAATAGGGTGGAATTGATTAAATTCTAAATTTACTTAGTCAAACCATTTATCTAAACATGTACTTATTTGTTTGTACTAAAAATAATATAGTCCAGGGAATGAATATTTAAATCTACTCATATTTGTTTGCAATGTAATGTGAGTTGGATACATTTTTCACTTCATTTTTGTGTAGAAAAATAAAAATAAATAAATAAATATAATCCACAAAAAATTACCAAAAAAAAGCTAATGTTGATTGCGCCCGTTTGGTTTCGATTGTAAATTGACCAACCTAGACCTATTATTTAAACCGAGGTGTTTGAATAGACAATTACGCACGATTCCTAAAAGCTCAAGTTCTAATTATTAATTTATTTGAAAGAATCAAACCGGAACAATTAATCAAACATGTTATTGAACGTGTCGAGTTGAGTTTAACCGCGAACAACTTGTTTATTAATTTATTTATTTTTATTATTTATAGATTTCAAACATATGGTTGAACTGAGTGTTCCAACACGTTTATAATTTCATGTTTATTAAATGATTCGATCCAAGCTCTCACATTTTTTTAACGAATTGAACTTGAGCCAAATCTTTGAATCGATTACTAAAAAAGTACGAAATCGAACATGAAGTACTCAAACTTCACTCTACCCAAATACCATTCACACCTAAACCAATAACATAAAAGAAAACATAATCATTAATATGTCAATATAAATAAATAAATATGTCTAAGCCATACATTAAATACCATAAACAAAAAAAAAAAAAAGCACAATTAAAATATGAAATTTAATGTCTCTATCAATTTGTCCTTTTAGGTGATTGAACATGATTGAACATGATTTAAATTTCAATGATAGATGATTGAACATGATTTAAATTTCAATCGAACAAAATACTAATGATTTAAATTTGAACACCTATGTGTTTGACCAAATGTCTGGATGATTTAAAATTGAGCACACCAAAAACTATTTAAATTTGAACACACTAGAAATTTTATGTACTTTTTTATTTATAAATATATTAAAAGTGGTATTTAATGGTTGTTATGTGAACTATTTTAATATATTTGTAATGAATAAAAGTTTGTGAATAATTTATAATGTTATTCATTATGTTTGCGACTTATGTTACACGAACACATAACCACATACATATTTGCCAGAAGGCAGCTTAATAATTTTCATAGATTGTTCAAAACTGTAATGAATTAACAAATCGTGGAATAAATAAAAAAATCATAAAAATGTTTCATACACTGATAAAACGTTACAAACTCATAAAGACTAAAAAATAATATGAAAAACTTTTATGTTTGTTTAGATTAACAACATTTATCCAACAAGTTCATCTTTCCTGTAAAGACCCTTTAACTATTAAAGGGGTTAATAGAACGAATCACACTTTTACCACTAAACTATACCCGCTACAATATACATATTGTATACAAATAGGCCTTTTGTCGAAGTGGTCAAAATAATAATCAAACTTTATGAATCAATAAGCGGAATATTTGGTCAAAATAATAATCAAACTTTATAAATCATTATCAAATATAAATCAATTTTAATTGAATGTAGAGTATGTTGTAAAATTGAACGTACAGTATGTTGTAAATCAATTCACACGGACAAATTTGTGATAATTAAAAGTAACAAACTAAAAAAAAATCAAAAAGTTTAGATGACATGTGACATGCATCTCACTCCGAGGAAACCTTTATCTTAATTATAGCAGAATGATGACTACATCTAAATTTTTAATCTAATAGATGTGTAGAAAAATATGATGGATAAAAACCTCATCATAACGAGAAAACATTATCTTATAGCAGAATATTGGCTGCATATAATAGTTTTTTTATTTGTCAGCATTCTAGCTATACTAAGTAAATCATTATATCATTAAGAATATATTATAGTTATATTATCAAATCATAAAAAGATATTAAGTCTATATTGTAAAAGAAATCATATAATTTTATAAAAAATTTACTGCACTATTTAACAATATTTTTTTTATTATATAATATATAAAATAGTAATTAAATATTATATGGTGAACAAAATAAGTAAAATTGTTATTTTCTCTTATATCAAGGGATAAATTTATATGCTAAAATTAAATTTTTATTAGTATAAATGTTTTAGTGAGATAATATATTAATTATTTTACAAGCTAGCCATAATATGCTCATATTTAATGTTCTAGCTAAAAAAACAGCGTTGGCTAAAAGATTTGGAAAAAAACTTATGACTCTATTGTTTTTTGGCTTAATGTTGATTAAAAGAGATAGAAAATAGATAATAACCCTATTACTTTTTAGACTTAAACTGAAAAGACTGTGAAATAACTCATTTAATATCTTTGTCCCGTGCTAGTTACATATGCCAAGTTGTCAACAATAAACATTTAGGTTAATTTCGTGCCGACAATTTTTAGCAACATCTACAGTACTTTTAAATCCCACATCGGATCTCTCAACATAATACCATAATCATGCCAAATATTAATCAAGTTACATTAAATGACACTTATCCAATAATTAAGAATATATCCTAATAAATAAACCACTAGATATTACTCGTCACCTACCTCAATAATTCACAATTTTTTACATATAATAATTTACAATTTTCACACATAATATAAATGGAAAGAATAATATATATATATATTTGGCTAAAATATGATAAAAGTGACCCACCACTCTGCATCTCTATGTAGACCAGCTGCCTTTTGTCTATTTCAAGAATCTCAAGAACCTACCTATAAACAATAGAGTATTTTTTACCAATTCTTTTTTATGTTTGACTACAATTTCGTATTGTAAACGAGTCGAACGGAACTCGATTTTTTATAGTCAAATTCGAGCTCAAGCATTTATTCAACAAGTTGATAAACAAGCTCAAACTCATCTCGTTTACTGATATTAGTGAGTACCGAGTCGAGCTCAAATCTGAATAAGTTGATCACGAGTCTTAACAAATTGAACGGTAAAAATAATAACCCCATTAAAAAAAAACACACACACACACACACACACTTCACACTCTGAAGTTACTGTGTCTCTGTGACTCTGAAAAAAGTAGTGGGTCGCATTTTTCTTTTTTTTTTTTTAAATTTTTTGTGAAGAATCTCATTTCAAGTTTGAATTTTTTTCAATTATATATTTATATATTTTTGTGTGGGGTTGTATAAAATTTACATTTGCTTTTGTCTTCTTTCGTCTATCTTCACATGCTACTGAGGTTTCACTGCTTCACACACTGGACGTGAAAGAGATCTGCATATCGAGCTCTCAGTCCTCAAATCGAGGTACGAAATCTTGAAACGACGAGAGCTCGCAGTTCGCCATTGTGTTTTCTTGAAGATTTTTAGCAAGATTTTAGGGCATTCATCTTTTGTTTTGTTTTGTGCATAAATCCTTGGTTTCTACTGATTTTTCGAGTTGAGCTTGCCGGAATGTAGCATGGATATGTTGATTTTTCTGTGCCTTAAACATGGCGTGGGGTGAGAAATTCTTTTTACGAGTGAAGAAATTAGGTAGCGAGGTTTGTGTGTGGGTGAAATTTTTTGTGTATGTTTAGTACATTTCACCTAAATCTTCAAGGAAAATAACTTCTAACCTCGTATTACTGTTCGAGAGATGCTTATGGTCGTTTGATTTGATTTTTCTTGAATCCAAAGAATGTTCATTGTTTTTTTTTATCTATTTAAGTTATCCTGATAGCTCTTGAATGTTGTTATTTGACTGAGTTTTTTGGTTTTTGAGAAATGAAAAGCGAAATGTGAGAAGAGTGTTTGCTGTAATCTTCTCCGTTCGTGCTAAAGATTAACACGACGAAGTAACTGACATTGTGGGCTGTGTTTTTATGGATTTGGCATTCTAATGGAATAGATCTGCTATAACGATAGTGTGAAGCACTTGCTACCTCTAGTCTCTGCACTTGCTACCCTGTTCAAGCTTTTGTTATCGGGCGTATGCGTTTTTGCTGATTAACCTTTTTCGTTTTTTGATAAACTCACAGGCTTGCATTTTGAAATCCAGAAATTTTGGGATAAGTACGCTGAGGAGGTATTCTTGAATGGTATAATATGGAGAACTATGATGTGTTGGAGCAGATTGGGAAAGGCTCATTTGGTTCTGCATTGCTTGTTAGGCATAAACAAGAGAAGAAGAAGTAAGAAACATAGTGTCTGTTTGCATTTTGTGATTACGTGCCGATGACGGCTAATATTCATAATGGAGATCACAGATGATTTTAGGAGTATAATTTATGGGCCCAAAAATCAGATTTATTTAATTTTGATTTTCTGCTCCACTGTGAAGGTATGTTCTGAAGAAAATCCGCCTTGCTCGTCAGACTGATAGAACACGAAGATCAGCACACCAGGAGGTGCCTGTTTAACGTCCATTCTATGCTTAACTGTTATACTCGTCAGAGTAAATAATGCACACACCCCACAGTTTATATAAGTTTATTTAGGATTCTTGACTGATGATGCACTTCAGATCTTTAGTTCTGCATACAACCCCACAGTTTATATAAGTTTATATGTCCTATCCAACTTTTGTCAGTAAGTTGTTAATTGTTTACATTTTTATCGTGAATTTTAATTTCTTGCTTTTCTCAGATGGAGCTTATTTCCAGGGCTCGAAATCCATATATTGTCGAGTACAAAGACTCCTGGGTGGAAAG